CTTAGGGCAATTGAGCAGTGAGGGTTCTTTATCGTGCCAACGACTACCGTTACATGGGGTTTTAAGGTCTCATCTGAAGGACCCGCAAATTTCGATTTCACTTCAAAGTGCCGAGCGCTTGGCGAAGGAAAAGTTGCTACTATTTTTGATCAACTTAGATCAGTCGGGACCGTGATTCGAACACACGACCTTCTGATCACGGAGAGAGCGCTCTACCGATTGAGCTACCGTGACGACCAGAAGCGTGATCGAAAAATGGATGATGTGGAAAACTGCAAGTTCAAGAAATTCAAAATGGAAATATTAGAAGCTTGATTCAGGATGCACAAGTGTTTTGCGTGAACTTTCCTCTATTCGTCCAATTTTCAATAACTGTGATATTTAATTTAATTTAAAGTAAACAGATTTATTTCAGATTTACGATTTGCTGTGATCTATATGTAGTAGTATCTTTATTGGCGTATACATTACATATATTGCCACCTAGGTAAAAGCCATTGAAGTTTGAACCTTGCCCTAGGAACAGAGCTCTAGATCTTGACCTAGGGCGATGAATTTCAGAAATCTGGTAAAGTTACCCTTGCTTCTAACTATGACTTGATTTGGCTGTAAGATGCCAAGGAACAGAGGCGAATTTCAAAGAATTGATGCATTTTCACTACATGACCATTAGAGCATAGCCTGGACACCAGAACACCTGATAGGCAATGAAATTCACAATTTAATTGCCCATCCTAACTTTGCACTTAGTTTACAATATATACATGTAGAGGAAGAAATTATTTCAAAAGAACTGATGCATTTTCACTATACGATCAATAAAGCACCACCAGAACTCCTGATACAGGGGCCTTCAATTTTACAAATTAGGTAAAATGCTCATGCTAACACTAAGAAACCTTAAAGTTCAGGACTATAAAGATTTTTGAAAATTACATAAATTTTCATGGTTCCCCTCAGGCTCCGGGGAGGGGGACTACAAAATTTACAATTTTTGTGTCTCTACCCATAAATGTCATATGCCAATATTGGTTCAGCGGCTCCGGAGAAAAGGCTGAAACGGTCCAAAAGTTTACGAACACAAAATACGGACAAATGACAGAAAAAGTGAGCAAGCTCACATACCCCACGCTCCCCCAAAACTCGACAATGCAACACGTAATGAATGGCACAGTGCATTTGAAATACACAGTATAATTCAAGAGAGGGTATTATTTGCAATCATCACTTCAAAACTTCTTGCATATAAGGACATTCAAATCTTTGTATGTTACAAATTTAATTGGGCTGAAGTTTCTAAATACATGTAAGTAATGGAATCAAAATTTCTTGGTAATATACAAATCTATACATTATGTCTGAAATACCTACAAAGTTTCAGGAAATTCAGTCCAGGAGTTATGCTGACAAACTGTTATTTAAATTCTTCAGTGATTTCGATTTGTTAATGAGTGTAAGTCCATGTCCAATACATGACAATTTACACATTTAAATAATTGATGGAAACAAAATTATGATGTAGTCATATGAATTTGTTTATATACTGTACTTATGAAATTATTTAAGGCAAAGCACTAATTTGTGTGTGGTGGGGGGGGGGGGGGGAGAGAACTATCCAAGATTTTGTGTGTTTGTGTGTTAAATCATTAATATTTCGATCTCAAAATCAATAGGGGTCTTTTAAGGTCATAAAATATTTCACATAAAATTTCATTACAAAAGGTGATTCCAGTGGATATCCTTATTACTTAGCTGGAAAGTTTCTTCAATAATAGGCAAAACTCTTAAGGCAAAAATAACGGAATTGGAATTTCCTGGTAATATGCACAACTACACACTGTGTACTAAATATCTGCAAAGTTTGAACAAATTCTGTGCAGCGGTTTAAGAGGAGTTGCGCTGACAAATTGTTTATCTCTATATTCAAGATATGGCCAAAAATCTAACTTGAAAGTGCCAAAATTCCCAGAAAAAATAAAGGAATCGGAATTTCCTGGTAATATGCACATCTACACATTGTGTCCTAAATATCTGCAAAGTTTGACGAAATTCTGTGCAGTGGTTTATGAGGAGTTGCGCTGACAAAAAACAGGACTGACGGATTGACTGACGGACGGATCAAAAACATTTACCCCCCCCCCCCCCCGGCAACTTGTTGTGTGGGGTATAATAATGACTCAGGTGACCCAAAAAATCTTGAATCTAGACTATATTAGGAAGTTTTCACATGAATTCCATAACTTAAAGCCTATTCGTTCTTAAGCAGATTTCAAAATGACTCGATCAATATTTGCCTGATCTTGATGATCTCGTAAGGGGGCACTGTTTCACATTTAAACAATGTCTGATTCCTTTTTAAGGATGCGCTAGATATAATTGAAATTGCATGACACAGTAGTTTTAGTAAAAGTTCAAGGACAGACTGACAGTTAGAAGGCACCCCTACTAATGTGTTCGGAACATTTTATTTTTCGATGTTCTGCAAATTATAAAACCCAAGGAGTTCCCAGTAGTTCTCACAGTAGCTCTGGTGAGATCTTGCGAGACTACAACGCGATAAGGTAAAATATTCACGGAAATATGGCTAGGAAGTGACTAGCACGTGGAGACATGGTAAACAGAAAAGTTATCTTGCGTTTCATTTTTCACAACTGAATAATATCTGTAGAAATGTATTTCAATCTCTTGAATTCATTCAAACGTCAATAAGTACTCTTGATGACATTATTTTCTGCACTTATGTATCAAAATTTCTTTTTGGACAAACATACTTGCATGGGAACTGGCACTATACTTTTTGGCTTTAGATTACATGTAGCAAACGCGGCTAGGATAAGGCTGTCCGAAGAATGTCATAGTGTACCAGCCGTAGTAACTTCTCTGAACTACCTAGATATGACGTCATAATGGCATATGACGTCAAGTCACTCCAAATTTGAGCAGACATGACGGGGAAAGTGTCATAACTTTTACATTTCTTTCACATCATATGTAGGATTTTTTTACGTTGATGTTTAAATCATGTGTCTGGATTGTTGTTTTAAGGCTGTTATGGTGGTGAATATTAGCAGTATAATGTCGTTATTCCCTTTTCTTGTCTAACATGTACGTATTCAAATAATTACAAAAACGAATGTGAAATGCTCCCCCTTACACGTCCGTAGACAGAGTTAGAATTTATAAATCTTATATATATTAGACTGGCACAAGTGAATAATAAGGATTAATTGAAGATATTCTGTGTGAATTTACTGGAGAAATATGTCCTCTAACTGAATGTTGCTGGGGGATTGTATGTAATTTATCCCATTTTGTATAAATTGTGATGAAGAGTGGAAAATGACCCCTTGTATGTGGGTAAGTTGAATTTCTCGTGAAATATTTTCTTACGAAATAAAATTCAGACTTGCCCCCAGCACTTTTTATATACCCAAGAATACGTTTAATTGATTTATGTAACAAGCCGTTCACAATAATTTTGTTTTTCACTTGTGCCGATGCGATTTTTGTGCAACATTTAAGAAAATTTATAAATGTCCGTCACGTGATCAACACAGTCATGTGACATCCCAAAAATGCTTTTTTTATAATACTTTATTCAACTCTCTTTACAACTTAACTGTGTATGTTTGCATAGAATACAAATTGAAATCAACACATAGCTCAAAATAAAATATAGTATATCTAATGCATATTAAGCCTTCGGACAGCCTTAACATAGCTGCGAATGGGGTACCAATATAGCTTAATCTGAATGAGTTAAATTGCATAGTGGGTTACTACGGATAGTACAGGAATTTAACGCTTGAAAAAAAAAAAAAAAAAAAAAAAAAAAAAAAAACCCAAGGTGATCGGAAAGGCACAAAGAACATTTTTTCCATGCATTTGCATGCTGTCCATTTTTATTCTATTATTTCCATGCCCACAATTACAAACAATTCATTTGTAACATGTTACATAAACGTGGAATTCTAGGTTTCTCAAAGTCATACTGTAAGGCGATTTTCGTCTGTATTCCTTTGTTGTACTATCGGTGAATACAATTGTCAGATGGGTTCCCTGACCAAAAAGTACAGATGATCACGGTTATTGTAATATGAAAAAACTTTCAATTGTTGTCCATGCCTAAGGGATGCTATTCGTTTCCCTAAACCTTGAAGCGCTAGTTTTCTGAACGTAGAACACACTACATTTTTTATATGCATTTTCTAGTTAACAACGTAACAGCAAATTACAAACGCCTGTGGCATCTTTTACAGTTTCTACTCTTTGTATTCTGTCATAGAAACAGTTTTTTTTAAATTGTTTTTTTTAATCAATTTAATATCGATCGTAGATTGAGTTGAACCACGTGTTCGAAGTAAAATGTAAACATATAGTGACATGTTAACGTTGCTATTCATTCAATGATTGGTCAATTGTTGGTGGTAAATTCTGTGCGCATTAATAACGAAAGCCATATAAGGTAAACAAAGGTTTGTCATATACGTTTTTTTCTACCAGCATATCGGGCGATTTTGGAAAAATTAATACTACTAAGCTCCAATTTTCGCCGTAAATTATCACAAAAGCGAGGATTTTTTAAGTAGATCATGATTTTTGAAATCCCACCCATTTCTGTTTAAAATCTTGAAAATCTTTCAGAAAGATCTGGAAACACGTTTTTATAGGACATGTTTTTAAAAGAAACAGATTATAGCAATTTCCCGTTTACTGCCAATTTTATTTATAAAACCGGTTTACCCTATAATCTTTGAATGGGTCATCCTACACCACGTGCCGCGAATTTGAATCACAATAACATTAGTAGGGGTGGAAGGGCTGACAACAAATCCGTCAGAAAAGTCACGTGAGAATTTAGCTCTTAGTGAGCTGGAAAAAATAGAGAAAACGCTCATGTGACCCAAAGGCAAGTGGGCTTTTGTTAAAGATTGGTTGAACGCAGACAATTAGTACTCAAATATTTTATTCTCTTTTTGGCGATTTTTGGTTACAACATCTCACACTCCTAAAATATTGTGTAAACAAGAATCGTCATCACAGCAAAATATTTCTCCATCTGGTACATTTTGCTTCATTAGTGAGCAGTCAACTTTCTGTAAATCACAATTTTGGAAAATTATACTTAATTTGCAGGGAAAAAAAATACATTATTTTTTGTTTACAAAATATTTATCATTGATTTGGAAAGTATAAATCCTCTGAAAAATACTTGCATCAGCACAGTGAGTTGAAAATGGGTATCCTGATATCTGTCGCACTAAGCAGCTCTCTGTCATCTTGCAAGTGTTAGACCAGACGCAGTTAAGATTATTATCGCAGGTAGGGCAACGGACACCTAACTTAAGAAAGGAAAATTTGACAGAAAGACAAATTTAAATAACTTAAAACAGGGTGTATAAGAGATCACACAACATATAATTCTTATGTCGTACAGGTTTTAAGTTACGTTTGAAGATTCTTCAACGAATTATAATTATTTCCAATGTCTTAAAAAAAGTTATCATTACTATTTGGGTAAATGCAGCTCAAGTGTTATTAATCAAAACTTAAAATCTTGCAAGAGAAAGGGCAAGGCTTTTTATGAACCGTGCCCTGCAGCTGAATTCATTTAATTTTTGTATTTTAAAGTGTAAGCATTGTATTCAAAATTGACACTTTCTTGATATTTGTCAAAAAACCAATTCAAGCTTACATATTCTGTCAATATATGTTATAAACTGAAAGACTGTAAATTCCTCGTTATTACACGAGAACTTATTATCGCAAAGTGCCTCTTTGACGTCAATTCGCAAGTGGGCGGTTGATCAAGAGATACAACATTAATTTCAACAGTATAAAATGGAAAGCGAGTAATTTTATTTCGCGATTGGTAATTTTTTTGAAATTATGCGGTAATTAATTCCTCGCATATATTTAGGAATGTAGAGTAACTGCAACCAAAAAGTACTCAATAAACCTCATAAAAATAAACATATACATTTACAAAGAAAAACGAACAGTAATCAAGGTCAAAAGTCCATTGGAATAATACTTCTTCAGTGCAGAGCAAATACGGACCTCTACATTTTATAAGGTAAATTTAACATACCTTGTCATTGGTCATTTGAAAAATTATTTTATTAAAAAGCATTCCGATTGTACACACGGGTACACTAAAGTTGATATTAAAAAGATGTTTGAGTTTCTGATTGACAATATCTATGTGGTTTTTGGAGACCATGTCTTCCAACAACCTATTGGAATTCCCATGGGTACCAATTGCGCCCGTTTTTAGCAGACCTATTTTTGTATTCATATAAAGCAGAATTTGTTGAAGAAAACACGTGCTGTGGCTTTCAACTCGACATGTAGATATATTGACGACGTACTGTCAATTAACAATGGTTATTTCCATTCGAATGTCTATACGATATATCCCAGTGAGCTTGAAATAAAAGATACCACAGAGTCTGACACATCTGTTTCATATTTGGATATTTTACTAGAGAAAGACGTTAATGGTAATCTAACAACCAAGCTTAATGATAAACGTGATGACTTTAACTTTTCAATCGTCAACTTCCCTTACTTACGCAGCAATATACCTTCATCACCTGCATATGGGGTTTATATCTCTCAATTGATTCGATACGCAAGAGCATGCTCTGCGTATGAACAATTTCTAAAACGAGGCAAGTTATTGAAAAACAAGTTGGTGAAACAAGAATATCAGCAGTCTCGTTTAAAGTCGTCATTTCGTAAGTTCTGTGGTCGATACAATGATCTTGTCAGCAAATATAATTTATCATTAAGTCAAATGCTGACTGTCGTTTTTTCATACTAATTGTTAGACCATTATTTACACACTGAATTGTCGACGGATTTTTCCGTTATTACCCGATCATGAAAAGGAGCACACGGCGGGTGTGACCGGTCGGCAGGGGATGCTTACTCCTGAATGGCACCTGATCCCACCTCTGATGTTTAAGAGGTCCGTGTTTGCTCTGCTTCAAAATTTGTATTGTTTAATGTACTTTTGAGCTCGAATACTTTTCGTTATCCCCATACATTTCATGTAGAGCATGCTCTTGCATATGGAATCAACTGGGAGACATAAATGCTACATTAATGAGGGAAGTTGTTTATTGTAAGTTTTGTTAGTTTGCCATTTATGGCATGAAAAAGACCCTCACTGCTCCATGACCCTCATTGCCGAGTATGGGTCTTAAATTTTCAGCTATCCACTGGCAAGTGGTGGCGTCTCAATATGAGTGAAAAAGATTAGATTGATTGATTGTATGTTGTTTTACGTCCCGTTCTGGAATTTTTCACTCATGTAGAGATGTCACCATACACCGGTGAAGGGCTTAAAATTTAGACCTTTACTCGGCACTCAGGGCCATTCAGCAGTAACGGTTCTTTATCGTTCCAACGCCTACTGTGACACGGGGTCTCGGTTTTTAAGGTATCATCCATATGACCCGCAACTTTCAATTCAAAATACAAAGCGCTTGGCAAAGGAACAGTTGCTACCTATTTTTTATCGACTTAAGTCAGTCGCGGCCGTGATTCGAACACACGACCCTCCGATCATGGAGCGAGCACTCTACCGACTGACCTTCAGTGACGATCTGAAATATTCTCGAAAGGGAAAAGCATTATTAATTATTTAAACATTGTCGATAGAGCTAAATGTCGAATTGAAGGCCACAGCAAGAGATTTCTTTTCACGTAAAAGATTCTCAATAAATTCTTCTTCATATGATTATAAAAATATAGGTCTGCTAATAACGAGGCGCAGTTAGTACCCATGGGAATTCCAAAAGATTTCAGACTTGATCTCCAAAAACTTTATAGATATTGTCGATCAGAAACTCAAGGAAACTGTTTGATATCAACTTCGAAGTACTTTTGTGTAAAATCAGAATGTTTTTAACACAATGTTTGCAGATGTACAATGACAAGGTATATAAATTTACGAGTTCCATTTTTACAAGATGATTCTAACGCCCAATTGTTTTCGGACTTGGCACACACATAGACTAGTTACACCATCGAATACAAACACATTGATGAAGAGTAATGTTGTCGACTAACAAAGTAACTTCTTATTTACCTTTAGTCAAGTCTATTCACTTCACATTATGAAGAGGCAACGAAAAATCACTAATTGACCACCTAACATTGGGATTCCTTAGTAAAGAAACAAATGATATTCGATGCATAGGTTAAAATCTTAAACAATTTTCTCCCCTTAAAGATTTGAATTTTATTTATCAAGTTCAGCCGGCCACGCCCGATCAACTTATCAAGAGTGGACAAATGTATCTCTATAGAGCCCTTTTTACTCGCTTACGAATATGCTCTTTTTTCCTTCACATTAAAAACAAAAAAAATATTGCAGGTTTAATTTTTGCAAAGAAGGTATAATATGTTGACTTTGCGACTGTTGTGGCGAGCGCAGTAGTCAACTTTGACCAAGATCCGCCTCTTCAAACAGCACGAGACATTTGGAAGGTGTAGACTGTGACGTCAAATGATGTCGTATGTTGCATATATGTATATTTCCATAACGAAGCCTTAAATGGGAACGATAAATTTACCATCTATCTGCAATCACCCCCTAAACCAAGGTTAGTTTATTTTTTCATTTTTTAAGTTTTTGTTTGGCCATCACAATTTGTTCGGGCAATTTATGGATCAATGTTCAGACAATCAGAATTTTCTCTTTGCCCTGGCGTTGCTTGAAGAGCTCGCAGTGATGAGCGGCTCGCTACGATTTGCATATAGCAGTTACTTCTGTTTGCATGATTTTATAATTTTCTAACAATTTTTCGTTGAGAATTGATTCGCCGTGATTTAATTTGACTAATATTAGTTTAAACAGTTGACGCCGAGAGTGATTGGAATTCGCAATAGGTTTTCAAAATCATCCGACCTGTAGGTGTTGTATTTTGTATGATGTGCTGGGTTGTGGTTAAAGCTTGTGCTGTTGTTTTTGATGCCGCCGTTGTTGACTCTGCAGTTGATCTGTTACCAGAGGGTAGATGGCTTTGAGTAGCTGCATGATCAAGGTGTGGCATGCGACGCACTCCCATTGTACCTAAGGTTGTTTTAATTCATCAAAAGAACGAGTTAAATTGCATTAATACTTACATGTAAGTTACAATACTGAAAGTTTGTTATGCGTCGTCTAATTTCAAGGAATAATATTAATTGGGGTTCATGTCTTTATCGTCGAAATTCCAACAATTACATATGGGTAGAATTTATTTTGCCGGTCCCCGGAAGTTTACGCAATGCGCATGTCACGCGACCCACATCTTGGTTGCTATGCAAAAGTAAACATTGCGACGCCATTTTGTTTCGGGGACTGATCGGAAGAATAGCAATATTAAATTACCGTACCTTACATCTGGAAATCATCCAAACTGTTATTTAGGGCACTAGTGATGTCGGTTAAAGGTTGAGTTTTTTTGAATTTTTGGAGGATTGGGTACTGGATTTGACACAGTTTTGGTTTCAGTAACAAATGCTGATTTGGAGGATTCCGGGTTGTAGACTTCTTTAATAATACTGCAGAAAGCTAGGAACGGGTCTGTGGAATCTTTGAGGAATACTTTTCTGACACAGTACTGGGCAAAATAGCTGTCGTACAGTACTTTCTGTGTTCCGTGTGTGGGCAATGATTTCTTCAGTGCCCTCCACGTTGATTCTATTGTATTGATGTGTCACCTGAGCTTGGGTCCACGAAATTCACGCTGTAATTCACAGTTAAATGTTGGAATCCTTCTTCGCTGAGGGAGCTGTAGGCTTTCCAACAGTCACTTATGATAGTGGTCCCAGGCCTGATATGTTTTTTAATAATTGTGACAAGTATCTGCAGTCCTGTCTGCTACGCTGACAACCCCCCCCCCATTTTTGGAGTCCCTCTCGATTCCCCCAAACACCCACACCCCGTCCACACCTCTTCCCCTATGGTATTTTCTCTTTCCAAATTTTAATCGCCGAAATATGGCTGAAATATTGTCGACTCGGCGTTAAACAATAATAATCAATCAACTTTCCAAATTTTGATTCGTCAATATTTCCTGACCTCCGATGATGTTACTGCCGTATTTCTCTAAATAAACTTCACACACTTCTCGTCCAAAATTATACCAATCCGTTATAGTTTTCTGAGAAATTTCCAATTCATGAATGACGAAATCGTTTGCACATTTATTAACCCAGAAATAAGTGATAGATATTATTTTTTCCAATGTCAAATTGTGATTTTCAAACCATGAAGATTTCCTAATAGATAGCTTTTTGTTGCATTTCTTGTTGCTACATCTCCAAACGTGGCCACCGCTATAAGAAACAAATACTCCAAAACCACAAGATTTGCAAATACTGGCACGAAGATTTAAAATGAGATCTACTTGAATCAACCAATTAATAATACTTTACACAGAATCGCATATTTTTACAAGCTTAAGATCTTTAAATTTCATCGGCATATTTGTTTACATTGAGCACATTTTGGACTGTCAAAAGTCGAAAATACCTGCTGTGCGCAGAAGCCGCGAAATTGCCAACGGATGATATTTTTCAACAAATCGAAAAAGTAAGTAAATATTGATTGTATTAAAAAACCAGGTTAAAAACTATCGTTTAAAACGAAGTTTTAACTGAAAAAAGTCAAAGAATTCAAATTTTGGGCCAGAAAGGCGTAAAAACGCCTTTTTATCAAATTTAGCAATCGCTCACGCGATTGCTTATAATAAAGAGAAAGCCTTCGGTGTATCATGTTTTGGCCCGTTTTTTGTGGGGACCGGCAAAGTAAATTCGTTGCTTACATATATATAGAATTAAGCAGAAATGGTATTGCCAAGAAAGCAAAGATAAAAAAGGGTTCTTATTTTGCATGTACATTTAGGAACTTACTTTCCATCACGGAAGCGAGGTATTCCTTGTATTGTTGACAACTGAAGTCTACACGCTTTATCATTCTTCCAACTGTGTTTATGCAAAAAAGAGATCTTTTAAATTAAAAAAAAAAAAACACTCAAAAAGGTGTACTTAAATTGCAATCTGATTTTGAAGTTTAATAATTTAATATAAACTTTACTATTTGGAATCCATCTCATTCCACCAACAAAAGCTTCCAAATTGTCAGAAGGAAATCCTGTTGCATGAATGTAAAAGAATAATGCATAACACATGATTTTTTTCTCCATATATCAAGTTTTATGTACGAATTTGGAACCACAGGATGAAAAGCCAGGTTTCCCAAATTTGGAAACCCGATGGAAACATATGGGAATCGTGACATCAGTAGTTTCCATATAGTTTCCATTTTATGGAAACCACATAGTGGTTTCCACGTAGATTCCCGATATGGAAACAATCAACCTGTGGTTTCCCGTAAGTTTCCCAAAATGGGAAACCGTGGAAACATGCAGTAGTGGTTTCCACGTAGATTCATAATATGGAAACAATCAATCTGTGGTTTCCCGTAAGTTTCCCAATATGGGAAACCGCGGAAACTTGCAGTAGTGGTTTCCACGTAGATTCCCGATATGGAAGCAATCAACCTGTAGTTTCCCACATGTTTCCCAGATATGGAAAACACGTATGCCGTGGTTTACACCTATTTTCCCGATAATAGACATTTTGGAAACGTGTATCAAAATAATAATTTTAAAAACTGTTTGTGTAATTCTGTGTAATAAAATTGAACATTCTGTGACCGTAAACCCAAATTAAATGATTTTTAACATTTTAGTCTCGGTAAAACTCATTAAGACACGTGGATTGGAATTAATAGAGAAGATTTAATACAACATTATTTTTGAAAAATCAGTGTAAACTGGTCAGATAAAATTCAATCATTGCGCTGACCCTTGTAATCGCGGGCACCTGTTCTCACGTGCCACAGGTGGAGACACGTGTCGCGAAGACACCTGCGACTGTATATTTCTTGTATATTCTATGTTATTTGAGAGGATTTTCTACCTAAGGGAAACAATAGGCTGTGGTCAAGCATGTACATACACCTAGTCTCCGCAAACTCAGTTTAAATCTAGGTGATAATTGTTGGCCATTGATTTGATTTAAAAAAAAAAAAATAATAAATTATCAATAAGATCACAAAATATTGATAAAATCAGCTACATTAATTTTAAGATGTTCAATGAGAGAAGAAAAAAAAAGAATTGTATTTCAATTTTTCATTACTGATTAAAAAAGAAAATTTCCTAACCGTTTAAAAATCATATATACTTTTCTATAGGTCTAGAATAAATCTAAATTCTCGTTATGTGTTAAATCATAATTCTTTTTCAAACAAATTTGTAAGTGCATAGATAAATGAAATAAAATTTCTTAATCGGTAAATAACGAATCGTCCTTGTTTAACGTTTGACATCAATGTAAACTTTGAATATTGAATACATAGAAAGAATTATTAATTATCAACTTTAATGTGTTGCCTTTAAGACATTGATAAGATAAAACAGCAGAATAATATTCGTATAAAAAATTAATGCGTGTTAACTAAATAACTTACATTTTTTATATCTGTACACAAACCCTGATGTAGTAAATGTCTTCATTTTTTGCATGAAATTACAATAATGTTGGTCTTAAATGCATACATGCACGTATATTTAATTTAGCCATTTTGTACACAAAGACCAATGCTGGCTCTAAATAAAGAAAACTCTATGATATTTATTTAAATGATTTTCTTTTCTTTAAGAATAACGTCTTCTGAAGAACTGCATGCTAAGGCAATTCATTGAAGAAGAAAAAAAAACAATAATTTATTAATTGTTTTACATGTAGATGCTTACCGAAAATATTCCTTTTAAATCGTGCATTGTGTTAAGCAGAAGGTTACCCCTACAAATTTAAGCCCCCCTCCCTTCTTCAAAAAATGGAGAGAAAATAGTTTCTTTCGATATATAGGTATTATATACTGATGTGGTGATTGTCAATACTACTACATGTACAAACATTTCTTTATGTACGCCGTCCATTTCTTGATTTTTATACGCCGACATGTAACATTACTTATTTAAAAAAAAAAACAAAACAAAAAAAAAAAAAAAACCTGCACTTAATACTGTCTACTCAAACTACAGGCCTGTATGAAAGTAATTTCAATTTGGGGCAAAACTTTACTAGAAAGTTCTTAACTAGCAAACCTTACCAGAAATTACAGGAAAAAAGTTATATATGAAAGATACAGGACGGTACTGGCTAAACGGCTAAATTAAGCCACATATATATACATGTTTATACAGCCCTGCACATCAACGAGTATACACCGGGCATTACATTTTCCAACAAATCAGATGATCAAATATTGACAAATTGTTACCAGTCACAACTAAAATTCTGAATGCAATGGACATAATTGTAGGTTACCTACAATAATTCTGGGCTTATTTTTATCATGTGTTTCAGGTCTTTAGCAACAGTTTCAAAATGGGGGGGGGGGGGGAACTTCCAAAAAAAATCTGACAAGCCAAAAAAAAATCATTTAATTTCACCCCCTGCCCCCCCCCCCTCCTCGCATTCTACGGGCGGTGTTTTTCAAATTAAAATACTGCACGTTTTCCCTACCTTTGCTTAGATATTGGTTCGTTTTTTATTCACCTTTTGTTTACTCTCCTTTTTTATAAATCAATTTTCAAATTAAATGTGAAAAATTCTGATACATTAAAACGGTGTGAGAAATTTTATAACTAAAGGCAAAGATGTTTCAAGTAAAATATAGCAAATTGGAAAAAGTCCAGCAATTTGTCCACTGATTCTTATTGATAACTGAGTGAGGCTCAAAATCGAAACCAAAAAAAAAGGAAGGGGTTCAATAAAGTATCTAAAGCCGAACAAGAGAAAAAAATCAAATTTTTATTATTCTTGAACCGTCCTTGCTGGTAATTAAATTATTTTGTCTTGATTTTCTTAAGTGTATACTAGTCTAACATACCCTAATTCCTTTTACTAAACAGCAATTTTTGACGCCGAACTTTTCCATCATCACTAAAAATAAAATACTGTTCTGTATACATGTCATGTAGTTCATTTGCATGCCCATCGAAATTTACGACAGACTTCAAAGGACAACAACATTCTTGTCACAAAATAATAAACAGCTGATAAACAGTCATCATATGTTTATTTTGAGGGTCGCAACAGGAAATAAGTTTTGTTTCCTATACTGCAAAAAATATGATTAGGGACGTATGGCACGTCCACAATGCAACCCCCCCCCCCCCAATTTTCTACGGTACTCAATGCAACCCCCCCCCCCCCCCCCCCAATTTTCTACGGTACTCAACAATTATTCATTTTCTGACGGTAGTTCCTTCAAGGGTTCCTGTTGAAACTTCCAATTTTAATATAAAACATGTATACATGTATAAAGGTTTAACATCTTCCGTTGTGACATTATACATTAATCAGAATAATGAATAATTTAATGAAAAAGTAGTGTTGGAGGGGAGAGGGCAAGCGGACATTTTCTGTTTGGATGGGCACTACGTTCCAAGCCCACGCCCCACCCCCAAGTCATACAATTTGAGGGGTCACACCAGACACATAAACTTTCTCTGGTCACCCTCAGATAAACGCTTCGTTTTCTATAGTATACTAATTATCGGCAAATTTATTGAGGAGCACCCCCTTTCTATGAACAGAGAAGAACTTAAGGAAAAGAACTCATAATCACCGTCACAGGGAAATTATATTATATATAAAAACTTATTAAAGTAAATAGGTTCTGTTTCCCATAATGCATCGCTCTGCAGAGGCTTTATTCATTGGTCAATTTTCACGAGGCGCCATTTTTGGAGTTGAGCAAGACGGAGAAGAACTCGGGTGTAAGGTGCAAATGTGAAAAGTTAATGATGTTTTCGCCACCCAGTGTCTTTAAAACTGTGAAAAATGCAATGATCAACAACCAAGGATTAGTGTACGTATATTTTTATATACTTTTTTTTTTACGGTAAATAATAGTAATAATGGGCAGAACAAATCTTTCCCATCGAAGACCACATTCGTTTTGACGCCATTTTGAAATGTTTGATATCTAAGTTTTAAATATTTTGGTTTACACATTGCAAAAACGAAAAGAGAAACTTGAATTATACAGTATTTAGTGTTTTACGATCAAAGATGCATAGATAGTAGACTTTGTATAGCTAGACCCTATGGCACCACATTTGTCTTTTTCCATGCTGTACGTTTTGCATTTTAGATTATTTTTTTTTAGTGAAAATGAATGCTTACTATAATAGTTCTCTCTCTATGTATATAAATGAAAAATGTATGATTTTTTTTTCGTTGTTAAATCGGATAATAATGTTTGTACCGAATATGGTTTCCTTGTTAATACGGACAAAACGTATGTCCGGTTTGAATACATGTGTTCTCAGATCGTCAACTTCATGAACTTGTTAGACTTTTGGAACTTTTTATGATGTAACGACAAGGTATAAATGAATTATTTCTGCTACTAAATTACGATTAAGTCATTAATATTTAAACAAAAGGTGTCCGCAATCTCAAATTATCAGATTATTCACGAAGGACATCATCAATGGAAATTTAAAAGACAGCTGAAAGAGAGAGTTCTGACTATTGTAATCCGACACAGATAAAACGCCTTTATGTGGCAGATATAATTACAAATTGTGAAGAATCATAAGAACAATTTAAATAGATTGTCTGTAACTAGAGTACATATACATCTTAAAAAGCCATAGCACAACCCTTATTGATATGCATAGTGATGATTTGTATAGGGAAAATGTATTGGTTTTAAAGTGCACTGTCTTTAATAATATAACAACTGTTTAACAAACAAGTGATAGATTGTAAATTGAAACAGTTTACTGTTCAAAAGACAAAATTTTTCATGCGTGACCTGCTGAGAGATTTACTGAAAATGTTAAAAATAATAGCCTACATGATGTACAAATATTGATAATTTTTTTTAGTATTTCAAGTAATGCAAATGAATCGTCTAAATTACAATCATCAATTATTGATGGCGGTCGCAACATCGTAGAAGCATAATGATAAAAATAAGTGAATCCGCATTTGTTTGAAATTTTTGTTTGTTTATTTTTTTTTCCTCCCTGGTAGTTGTTGAAGTCTAGGCCATTATTAAAAATA